CTCATAGAGCAATTTGTTTAGGTAATTGCCAAAGTAAAACAAACATAGAAAGAAAAACATCTGGGAGGAAAAATTGGTAGGAATGATCTGGCTGTACATTTGCTTCCTATTCCCCATCAGTCAACAGCCTCTCACTATCTGCAATGTGAGAAAAGCAGAGGGGGAAGGTTGCTTTAGGGCTTTTTGATAGTTTTGAGACTCAATTTAAACAACAAACATAGAGGAAGGAGAGCAGATAGACCAATTGCCTGTTTTTCAATGCCTTTGAAACAACCAAAGGGTTAATGAAGAACATCATGGTCTGTAAACCCAGCACTGGCAGGGCATCAGACTGGCACTGGCACCACTACTGTTTCCTTTGTATCTTTCCCTTAACTTCCCAGCAGGGCTAAATTAACAGACCCTATGAGAAAGACCCACCTCTGATCATAAGGGAATTAGATTTTCCTTCTTTCCGGCAAAGCAGATAGGAACCATCAAATGTAAAAAAAGCAATGAGCAATGGCAACAGCATCTGCATTTATGGAGGACAATACAGGGGCAGTGCTAGAATTAATAGCATTTTATGCCAAATTCAGAGCTGGTGCCAGGGGAAGGGAGCTCTGTCCCAGACTGTTACATCTGCTGGGAGTAAGGCTAAATGGAGCCCATTGAGCATGATGAAAACATTATGAGGTTATTACAACAACTTGTTTGAAAATGTGCAGCGGGAAGCCAGCAACGCCAGATGAATACAAAACCCGAGCCCAGGAGCAGTGTCAGGCAGCATAAATAAAGTTTTGTCCTCATGTCCATTATGAACCTCGTGTTTGTTGTTTGGGACATAACCCATTCCCTTTAAAAAAAAAGAAACTTAACCAGAGGGCTGGAACTTGGCAGGCCAGCCCCATCCTGCTGCAGTGTTTGTGCAAACCTCAGCTCTGCTCAGACTGCTGCAACTGACAGGAGAAGGGCAGAGGGGAAAAAAAAAAAGAAAAAAAAAAAAAGTGGTAATTAGCCAAAAGGTTTCAGCTCCATTTGCCACAAAGGATGGTTAGAAAAACACCAGATGATGCAACTTCTGAAGTCCCTTTTGAAGTGCTGGCCCATGCTTGTTATCAGCAGCTAGAGAGAGATGCAAAGAGCTTCACAAACTTTCAGGTCTCACAATGAATGGAACAGAAGGGTAAGGCCTAAAGTCCTGAGTAATGGGCAGCTCCTCCTGCCTCTCTGCCTACGGAGAACAACAACACGAAGCCAAGATACAACACAGCACTTCCAGCCAAGGCAATCAAATGGACTTTTCCCTATTAAATAGCTAGTATCTTCAAAAAGGCCAAAATTTTATGATCTTTTCAAAGTTTATGCAAAGACAATGGTTCATCCTAAAAACAGAAGCTTTGCAATTAATTTTTTTCTTCCATTTTCAAAGAATTTGAAATGAAAGAAAAAAATTTAAAAAAATGACACTTTGTAGAATGAAACCACTGAAGCACATTCTTTCTTCTCGCCTTTTAAACTCTCCCCAGGAAAAAATCTAAGATGAATTGGTGAGGGCTTGTCTGAGCAGGAAGCATTTATCTGCTCAATACACAGCTGTAACCATGTCGGTGCCTGAGCTTTTTTCCTGCAGCCTCTTCCAGCTCAGCTAAACAGTTTTCAATATTATAAGCTAAGCCTTATAGAAGAAAAACATAATTTTCTTAATAAAAAAAAAGAAAAAGAAAAATGCTTGTAGCAAAACAAGGGCATTCACATGGGTCGTTAAAACCAAATTTAACACCAGAACACATTCATGCCTTGGCTTTCATGTCTAAACTTTCCCACAGAGACAATTTCTCAGAGGAAACACAGGGGGTGGGAGGGAAGTGAGGTGGGAAATGAAGATACTTTCCCAGTGCGGGGCAGAATGGGAACCAGAAGCAAGTAGGGACAAGGCCTGAAAAGCATTCCATCAGATGTTGTTTTCCTTTATCTTTTCCACTCTTTCCCCCATTCACTTTGCAATAAGAAGAAAAGGATGGAAACCGGAGGCAGAAACCCATAGATGAACACCAGCATATTTAAAAATTACACAGATTTTTTGTTTTTCATTGTTATATTGCTGTTATTTTTTTGTTTAGAATTTTGAAGAAAAGACCTGTAATTTCTACTACAGATATCAAAATCTGATTTTCTCCATTGCATGCATTGAGTCACACTGGACATTTGCCATTTGGTCCCACTGAATACACAGATGGGAACACGGCCCCTTGGTGACAGCACGAGGTGTCCTCCAGACTGAACGCCTTGGATAGCTGTGTCTCTGAACAGAGGAACGTGGTGGGCTCTGCCCATTTCATAAAGGCCAGGTAAAATAAACATTTCTTGGAAATCAGTGCCTCGTGCCCTAGAGGTCTTTTTCCCTGGATAGAAGGTGTGTGTTACCATGACTGCCAGGTCTGTCTCACAAGGCCCAGCACTGTAAACTTGTAGGAATATCCACAATATACAGGCTCTTTTTTTTTTCCCACCGTGTGCATTTGTGCCTTCTCTAACACCCAGTTACCAGCTTTCTGTCTTCCAGAAATAGACAATTCCACCGCCGCTGAAACTAAGGCAACAGCAGCAGTCAAAACACAGTCAGGAACATCTCCCATATTTTGCAAAAGATTTATGTGCTGACAGCCACTGTGAAGGCATATCGCTCCTTGCTGATCGGCAACTCAAACACAAGAACCTTTCCTGGGAACATGGTGGAGTTTAAAGAGAGAAGTTTGAAAACCACTATACTGGCTTCAGACATTCAAAACAGTAATGGGCTTGGCCTAAGAGAGCTCAAATACTCTGTCACCCCCTGTTTTCTGAATTTCAAGGGGCACTCAGAAAATGATGTTCCAGTCTTTCCCAGGCCCATCTGGAGCACTGCATCCAGGTCTGGGGCCCCCAGTACAGGAAGGATGTGGAGCTCTTGGAGCGGGCCCAGAGGAGGGCCACTAAGATGATCAGGGGGCTGGAGCACCTCTCCTGTGAAGAAAGTTTGAGGGAACTGGGCTTGTTCAGCTTGGAGAAGAGAAGGCTCTGGGGAGACCTCACTGTGGGCTTCCAATACTTGAAAGGAGCATATAAACAGGAGGGGGAATGACTGTTTACATGGAAATAGTGATAGGAGAAGGGGGAGTTGTTTTAAACTAAGACAGGGGAGGTTTAGGTTAGATATTAGGAGGAAGTTTTTCACACAGAGGGTGGTGACACACTGGAACAGGTTGCCCAAGGAGGCTGAGGATGCCCCATCCCTGGAGGCATTCAAGACCAGGCTGGATGTGGATGTGGCAGCCTGGTCTGCTGGTTGGTGACCCTGCACATAGCTTCTCTCTTTATTGATAACACATTTTCTTCCTCACAAAAAAAAAAAAAAAAAGCCATGGAGAAATAAAAAACAAAAAAACTGGAGAAACGGACAGACGGAGAGCAAGAGATGAGACGGAGAAGCTGGAGAAGAGACAGAAAGGAGCAAGAGAAGCCTGAGAGAACAGAAAGAGGAGTCAGAGAAGTCAGAGATGAACCACAGAATGCACAGAGGATCCTTAGTGGAGCCATAGACGAGACAGAGGCGACAGAGAAGCTAAAGAGAAGCTAGAGAGCCATATGAAAAGTAGAGCAGAGAGGAGCAAAAGGGACACGAGAAGAGCCAGAGAAGTGCCAGAGGAGCCAGAGGGGGAACAGAGCAGAGACAAAGAAGCCTGGGAAGCAAGAGAGGAGACAGAATGGCAGAATGGTAGGGTTTGGAAGGGACCTCTGGAGAACATCAAGTCCAACCAGTTCGCTAAAGCTGTTTCTCTACAGCAGATTGCACAAGGGAGTGAGGCAGATCTTGAATATCTCCAGAGAAGGAGATTCCATCACCTTTCTGTGCCTCCTGTTCCTGTGCTCTGTCACTCACAGTAAAGACGTTTTCCTTTGTTAGTCTGGAACTTTCTGTGCTCCAGTTTCAGCCTGTTGCCTCTTGTTCTATTGCTGCTCGCCACCAAAAGAGTCAATGTGACTCTTGCACTTTAGATATACATGAACAGATCCCCGCTGAGCCTTTTCCAAGCTGAAGAGTTCTTGGTCTCTCAAAGAAGCCAACATGAAACCAGAGAGGAGACAGAAAAACTAGAGAAGCAAAAGAGAGATGACTGAGAGACAAAAAGTGCCAAAATGGTGCCAGAGAGGAGACAGTAGGCAAAGGTGTCAGTGAAGCAATAGAAGATAGAGAACCAGAGGAGCAAAAGAAGAGCCAGAGACACCAAAGAAATTACAGAGAAGGCAGAGAGGAGACAAATAGCAGATAGAAAGCCAGACTGCATCTCATTGAGAAAGGAATACTTTCAGTCAGGAGTCCTTGCTTCTGGATGAGCTAAAATTTTTATAAGTTTTGCTGCATTTAGACAAAAAATGGTACATTTGCTCATTTCTGTTTTTATCAAGAGGCATTCACCTCATATTTGATCACATGCTCCTTTTTCAATTTACTTAAAAAATGAATTGTGAGCTCAATAATTGAGCTGTAGTGAGAATTACAGGAAGCCAGAAGATTTTTAAATATCTTATCATGCTATGTTTATATACCACCTTTGTATAGAGTTTTAGTTTATAACTGGAGAGTCAATATAGCACAGCATGTGATAATATTTTGCCACACTTGGCACTGCAAAGCAAATGCATTACGTTTCTCAAAAGGTCCAGAGTTAATTCAGAGGGATGCAAACAGGTGAAACACCTGGGATGCAGTGTTTCCCATCCCCTGAGTTGCAGCTGGGACGGGGGGCTTTGGATGGCTGAACTGGGGCAGATATTGCAGCTTTGGGTGGTTGTTAGGACCTCTTTCAGATTGCAGCAGGAAGAGTTCTTGGAACATTGCCATCTAGGTGCTCCAAAATGATGATTCATGCATGGTTACACGGCAATATTTACTAAGCTCTCAGGAGGCAAATCCATTAGCAGAGATTAGTCAGCTGTCAAGAGCCCATTCCCTCGTATAAGAGTTCTCTAAATAAAAGTTCTCATCTGTAACAGGAACTTCCATCCCACCACCTACTCGCTCATTTCATAATCCCGTAATCGGTGAGTTAGGACATGTCATTGTGTTTTCTCAGATTGCAGAGGAAAGTAACACGGGAGAAACTGACAGTGAAAAATGAAGATTTTGTCTGCAGCAACTTTTCTCACCACAACTGAGCACAGTCAAACAACTTCTGATTCATTCGGAGCCAATTCTGCCTGTGAGGAAAAGAGACTCAGCTGGAAGCAGCTTCGTCTCCACCCAAGCGCAGCAGCCACCTCAAGAGTGTGCGCTGAACTTTGCAGAGAAACTCCTTTTGGTTGTTCAGAGTGCTGCATCCCTCCAGCAGGACAGACCACAGCCCCCAGGTAACTACTTTGTGGTTCAGGAGATGTCACATGAGGTTTTTTTTGCCTGTACACGTGAATATTCGGGGCACCGGTTACCGCACTGATGACCATTTCTCACTCTATCCGAAGAATAACTCATGGTTCAAATGGAAGGGATCTGGGCAACACAGCATGACGGAAAGGCTGGCAGCTATTACAAAGCATGGTGAGCACAAACGGGGAATAAACTGCTCGGTCAGCAGAACAAGATTCATTCCTAGACACATGGCTATTGAGTCTGAGCAAAACTCACTCCTAGACACATGGCTATCTCTGTGCAGAGAGAACTGTGGTTTTCGAGATGTCCAGCTGTAAGAGCTGTAACAAAAAGCATTGCTTCTTCAGTCTTCCTGGTCCAAAGAATTGTTCAGGCCTTCCCAGCTGTATCAATTGGTTTAGGAAATGTTGCAGCTGCTGCCTGTAATTTTTTTTCTCTTATATGTTTTGAAATAGATGTACCCTCAGCAGGACAGATGAGGCATACTGCAGGCCCCTCTCATGCGAAAGGTGTTGCCTTTGGAAGCCACTCGACCATCTGTGAGAGCCCCACACCTGCAGATACAATTTAACTACTTATTACTGCTTTTCTCTCCTCTGAAAAACTGCAGCAAGTCAAAGCAGCAGGAGTCTGGCCCGCGATACTGCGAAGACATGGATACTGACCCTGCCTTTGCCTTCAGTTTTGCTGCATGCCTCACCTGGTTTTCCCTTTGCTGCCGCTATACCACAAACCCTGCCAGGTCAGGTTACTGCTCTGTTATCCGGCTCTTCTAAGCCATATGTTGAAGGCCCCCCTCAGGAGGCTCTCGTGTAACATTTCAGCTCCTGGAGACCAACTGGTCTTTCATTGGGCCAGGAACAGCGATGGGAGCAACAGCAGCTGAAAAGCGTTACCAGTTGGCTCTGTGCTACGAGGTACTTTCCCATGAGAGGTCTTCAGCTGAACAGAGCAGCGGCGGTGAGTACAGAGGCTTTTAAAAAGTCTACAGCCCACCCCAGATCCAGCTGTGGGCTGTAACAGATAGACTGGAGGGCTTCTAACAGATGCTGCTTAAAGCCTTGCTGCATTTTACACCTTTCAGCTTCCTCAGAAGATGAAGTAGACTGATCAGAAGTGCATATATGTGTGGTTTGGTTTTCTTTTTTCTCCCCTTTCCCTTACAGATCGAAAGTGCAATGAAGTAGCAGCATCTATCTGCTAGCAGGGTGCACACGGGCAGCCCCACACAGCCTCTGCTAGAAGATGGACACCCACAGGAGCCTCGTGGGCACTGACAACAGGTGTCCTGCCGCAGGGTCCTGCTTGCTCCCAGCAATGCAAGTTTCACCTGCACTCCCCCTTCTCTTTGCGCTGGCATGTGTTGGTGTAAACATGTCCGCTACAGTTGTCAAGGAATCAGATAACATGTGTGAAGAAACAAAGGTCCTGAAAGGAATCCCAGATGCAACAGTCCTCGTCGGAAAGATATTCTGTTATCCAGTGCCAGTATTTGCCTTTCATGGAACAATAACTCAATACAAGGTAATGCTGTTAAGTGCACTTCTTGGTATAATCCTTCAGTATTATCCTTCAGAGTATTCACTTTATTTTTAAAAATCACTTCTGTTTTTCCTATTGAGAGCGTGCTATCTGTAAAACTACAGTGTCTGCTCCAAAAGCAGTGCCTCTTATTTTATGATGTTGGCCCACAATATCAAAGGCAGATGGTGGTGGTATGGCAGTAGAGGTTGAACGTTCCCACCAATATTCTGTTTACAGTTTGTCGTTGTGTGACAAATGGCAGCGGAGAGGCAGTCTGACAACATGGTGTCTGACGTGGAAGTATGGATGAAAAAAGGTGCGTCACTGAATTCCTTCACGTGGAAAAAAAATGGCACGCATTGACATCCATCCATGTTTGGTGAAGGTTTATGGGAGACCCAACAGTGATGTGAGCACCATGAGGTGGTGCATTTTAGCAGTGACAACAGCGATGTGAAAAATAAGCCATGTTCCTAATGCACAGATTTATGAGTGAGACATGCAGGCTCTTCATCACTGGTGAAAGCACCTCGCTGATGGTGCTGACTATGCTGAGAAATAGTGTTTGTAGCTGAGAATTTGCTCTGTCAAATAGCATTATTGTGTTCCTCATCACTATTGTAGTTTCCATGAAAATAAATAGAAAGAATTACTTTCAGAGCAATCTACGTAGAATAGGAACCTACTTCCTGCCTTTAATTCTGTTCATCTTCTATCCTCTTATGGAGCAGGTCACTTTAGCCAGTGGTGCAAATTTGCCAAGCTGGTTGGACTTCAATCCCAACACAAACATGCTGCAGGGACTGCCAATGACTGGGGAGAGCGGAACATACCTGCTAAGCATAACTGCCTCTGGAAGAAAGTGCACCCAGAGAGCTGCTGTAAAGTTCACCATCCATGTTCAGGACAGCATTTTATTCCTGGACACGGAGAACAGCTTGAACCGCATACCAAACAGGCACCAGTGAGTATTGTCCTGCTGAGGGCCATTCCCCAAACCTGAATTAAAAAAATGGAAATGGAAAGAAAAAAAATGCAAGGCAGCTACCAGTGGGGTGCTGATGTTCCAGGTGGCTGCTGACAAGGCAGCATCCAGCCTCCCTGCCGCAGCTGGGAACTGGAGTCTTCCTTTGTGGGAAGAGAGACAAGGCCATTAATTGCCTATGCAATACACTGCCCACTTCCACTGATGACATAGAGTTTCTTTCTTAGTAATAAGTATTTCCAGTCTAATAGATATCAAATGTAAATGTTTTAACTGAATTACTTTAAAGTCAGCATCATGATGGTTGTATTTGGTAAATCCAAATCGTACTGCTGTGCTCTAGATCAGCAATGGGGCCAGACGTAGCTCTTGCTGAAGATAAAGGAGTGTACAACATTCACATATTCAGTAGGAGGAAGTTTTGGATGAAGAGGTAAAGTTGAGTGATGTATGTCCATAGGAAAATGGATTGAATTCAAACAAATATCTTCACAAAAGAGGGGGGGATGGGAAGATTAACTCAATCAATGACATTTTGGACATTAATGCCAATCTTCATAGGTGTGGGAAGGAAGTTCCCATCACTTCTGCTGAAATCATTCTCTCCACTGGAGCCAAAACCCTGGAAGCGCAGGAACGCCTCTACATCGTGTACACAATTGCTGCATATCTCCATCTGGATTCCTCCCTAGTAACCCTGCTGCAGTACACAGATGTGGTGCACAGAAACTTGCAGAACCTGACTGTGCTGGCCAGAGACACTTCAAACATTGATTTCACAGTGAACCGTTACGTAGGACTCTCCTGGCCTGTCAAGTGTGGAGAGCTTGCTGTGCTCCATGAATTCATTCAAGTCCTACAACACAATATTGATTCACAGCATCTCTCACAACTCTTGGGATATGAAATTTCAGGCTGGAGAATACATAGGAGAGGGAATTGCAAAAAAAAGCCTCCGAGACAACAACGCAGGCAATTAATGATCACGCCAACACCTACATTGAAGGCAATTAGAATTACCCAGAGACCAGCTGCAGTTACTCCCCGTCCTTCATTCTCTGCTGTGCCAAGTCATTTGCTCTTACCACTTGCTGTATCACCTACCCAAAGTTTATACAAAGACAGTATAACAACAAGCTACCAGTTGCAGAACAACATCCATTCTGTAAGTCAAGAAAGTTCAGTCACCTTAAAAATGGACTCAGCTTTGGACATGCCAACTAATGATCCAACTGTAGTTGTTATGTTTGGAGATACTGGTTCTTCAGATCTTTCACCTTCTCTGGTTCCTAAATCAGTGCTTCTCTTCACTGAGCAGAAAGCGCTGCCCACCAGAGCTCCTGGCATGTCCTTGCTGCTACAGCAACCTGAGCCTCACATGTCTCAGACAGACTTATATTTCCATTCTAGTATAATGGAAGTATATGGATCCCATCTCCTACAGGACATCACCTCAAATACAGACCTGCTTCCCAGACCCACGTACACTCTGATGATAAACACTCTTCATGAGCGGCCCCATAACTTGACAGAAGCACTTTCTTCAAAGACAGAACATCATGTATTTTTGCCACAAGAAACGTCAACATCAGAAATGCCAGATTACAGTGATAAGGCAAAAAGCCACATTCCAAAATCTGAAATGCTTTCTAGTGCAACCCTGTCTCTAGAGAGGCTTCAGTCTCTATCCCCAAACACTTTGCTAACAGCCACAGCTTCATCTGATTCCACATTTCCCATCAATTATATATTTCCACCTCCATCAGCAAGTAGTAGCCCAAGCCAGGAGTTAGCTCATGGCCATGAACTATCATCTAAGTCTTCTGCAACTGTGCCATCATACTATAGGCTTCTATTTATTGGAGGAAGAAGCACAGTTTCTTCTGTAATCCAATCAGAAGCACAGATCCTCTATCCCAAACTGAATTTCCATACTGAAATCTCAGCCTGCTTTTCTAGCTCTTCTTACAGCCCTTTCCCTGGGGAAGCTAAAACATCTTACGAATCAAGTCTGCTCATTCTGTCCCATCCTGATAGCACACCAGTTCTTACTCTTACACCACCAATTGTACATTCTACTTATGGTGATAGCATGCTCAAAACACAGATGCAGTCTCGAAGTATTTTATCCACAAAGGAGTTGCACTCAGGCAGAGATCTGGGAACACGAATGATTTTGCCAAACATCACTGCGCCTACCCTGGAGTTCCACAAAATCTCAGATGTCATAGTTGATGCCATAGAAGTACCCCTGGTGAATTTATTTACTGCCACGTCTCAACCGTTCAACAGTGTGCCAGGTATGTTATAAGATTTAACTTTCCCTTCATTTTATTTCCTGCTGGGATGGAGAGTCCTAACAAAATAGATAAACGTAGTTTACTCTGCATCAGCACAACCACACTGCACTTTGGATACGTCAGCAACAGAGTTCCTTGTAAGAGAAAGTAATTTTATCTCTCAGCTTCGTACATTTCCCCTGATGACAACCAGACCCAGCTCTGGCCGTCCTATCTCAGGAAAGATATGGACCCGTTGAAAAAGATCCAAAGGAACACAGTGATGGTCTGAAGACTAGAAAACATGACATAAATGGAAAGAATTAATCTAAAAGACTGAGGAAAGATGCAAGTTTATGTAACAGCTTGCTGAAAAGATGAAAGAACTGTTCTCCACATCCCGTGGGAACAAAAGCAGCACTAATGGCTCTATATTACACTTCAGTTGATGTAAGTTAAACACTAGATAAACTTTCTCAGAGCAAGGATAATAAGACATAAGATTACTTGGGGAACACTGTGGAACAGTGTATTAAGAACACAGCAACAAATATTTATCAGAAATGACACAAATGTAGCTGAACATCCCACATAGTAAAAAATTAGACTATACATCCTTCAGAGTCCTCCTCCAAGTGCATGAATCAGAGTCAGGCTTAAGTATACGCTAGACTTCAAGAGATAGTTTATAGGACCAGTTGGGTAAGTCTGAAGGACTGTCTGAATCTGCTTCTATTATCCCTTTAAAAAGGTGTGTGATAGAACTTAAACTTCAAGTAAGCTCATGCATTCAGAGCCAAACTCTTCCTTTATTCTCAAGCAAAGTCACTGGCCCTATTTTTGTAGAATAGACCCAATAAATGTCTTTCTGAAGTATTTTTTTTCTAAAGGTCTTCTAGACCTATCTTATGCCTATACCCAGAGTGCAAAACTGCAGCTTGAAATGTTTAGGTTTGTAATCAGGTGCCTAAGCAACCAGCTGTGAAAACCCAGATAGGTAACACAACACTAACATAACACTGCTATTAACACTTGCAAACACAGACCATCTAGAGATTGTCAAAACTCTCTGCTCCCGGTGAAAGAAATTGCCTGAGGAAAGGCTCCATTGATTTTCCAAAGGAGAGGTTAAGCATTACCACCCAGGAAATATAATCCTGTTAGTCCCCCAAATGCTACATTTTCCAATGCCATTTTCACCCAATGACTAAAATCTTGAATAGTGATCTACAAGTTACTGACATTAATGCCTAACGCATCAGGTGTGTAAGGTATTGCAAGTATTTTACAATCTTATCACAGTATTTTTTCATTACAGTGTTTCATATTGTAATGGCTGAGAAATTAAGACAAAATACACAATATGCCAAAGTCCACTGAAGGACAGAGCGGTCCCACTAGGTATTCCCACTGAAGAAAGGTGCTGATGTATTCAGTGCCTACATAGCAAATCAGTTCCAGAGACAAGATCAGAATCCAGTTCACTTTACAGCCATAACATGAGATAAGAGTCTAACAGCAGAAACTCAGATTCACACTGCTTTCTCCTCCAGCTTCCTTCCCATGGCTCTAACTTCTCTGGCAGATGCAGCCAAACAATTTTTAAATACATGCCATAAAAGATTATTATTTTTTTTAATATTCCCAACTGTATAGCAAATTATTACAATTACATATTTTACATACATTTAAGCAATCCTCTGCCTAACTGTAATAAACAGTACCTTGTTTTCACAGAGCTGATTCAGACACTACCACCATCACACCAGGATGCAAGCACCTTGCAATTTCCTACCGATGAAACGCTACAATCTGCAGAAAGTACAGGGATTCTCCCTCTATCTTCTATTTCACAAGAGCTTGAGAATAAAACCCCAGGTAAAAAAAAAAATGCTTTCCTACTTATTGATGTCATCCTCCTCCTTAGTGATCATGCAAGGTATTGCTGGCCTCCTATACCAAAACTCATGTAGTATGGGATCATATCACCATAATACTCAAAGCATCCTGACTCTGAACTTTGTGCCCTTTGAATTATCTCTCCTCTTTTTTTAATTAGGTAAGTAGTATCTGAGGAGATGATTAGCCTAGAGTGCTATTTTACTAGATCCAGCAAAGTGTTCCCTGTCCTGGTGTTGAAAACACAAATAAATGAGATAAATGAGAACTAGCAGGAAAAAATGAACATCTCTGTCACAGACTGTGGGAATTCTCTGAGTTCTCATCTTCACCCTTACTCTTTGAGCCTGCCAGCAAGTTTGACCCAATAGTCAGACATTTCCTTTTCAAATTCATCACCACATTTTGTCTTCCTCACAGCTCACTTGGTGTCTGCCTATGTATTCAATCATAAGAGCTCTACAAACTGATGCATTGCTGCCAAGGCAAATGCTGCCCCAGGCAGTGTATCTGCCATCTCCAGAAGTTGGGTGATGGTGCTGGCACCCAGTGTCTGCCTGATTAACCTGAAACTATTCTTAATGATAGGCATGGCACAATAGTGCAAAGAAAATAAAACATTCCCATGAGATTCCCAGACAAGAAATCCATGTTTGGTGTTGTCGATAGAAAACGAAACAATAACATGTTAAGATTTACCTCATACATGAAATCTTCTGAATCTAACGGAGCACTCACCATCAGAGCTGTTCCAATTCCTTACAGAGCTAAGAGTTTTTTCTTCAAGATTTGCTTCTGTTTCCAAAGAGAAGACCTTACTCAGAAACCATCTATATTTTTCTGCAGTGGGGATCTCAGCTTGTGCAAGCACACTGCCAGGGGCTCCTGTAAATTTAATTTGGGAATGAATGTAAATCATCTGAGGAGAACCCTGCTAATGAGATACCTGTGCCAGAGCCTTCAATAGTTAAGGTATCAGAGTACCATGCGGTTTCCTGCTGGGTAGCTTCAGACTGTAGTCCCCACTGATTTGAATACACTATCCAATTGTACAAGGAAGGACCTGTAAAGTTACATAAACTTTCCATAACACAGGATGAAGAAAAAGAATTGAAAGAATTTTGCAATAATAGGAAGGAACACTGCACTTACTCCTTGATACTTACAACGTCAGAAATGGGACATGATTGCCGGCATGAAGAGTATATCCATAATCTGAGAAGCATGCTGTGGTATCTCTATGAATTAGATTAAGATATACTTTTGGGGCAAAGGCCTTACTAATTTATTATACTAGTTAGAAGTGTCTTCGTATTTGTTTCAATAAACACATCACTGCTATATATGCTTCAACGTAACAGGAGAATTGTAAAGTCACATGTAAAATTCACACCCAAAGCACATGAAATTGTCATCAAGATGTGATCAAGGGCAAAGCTTCACAGTATCATTATAAGCTTATCATTAATAAGCTTATCAGATAGCTATTTTTTTTCATAACCCTTTTCCTTTCCTCATCCCTCTCTAAAGGGCAAACGAACACTTCTCCAAAGGTCGTTCATTCAATCCAATTCATAACAGCAACTATTGGATGCCTGTTCTCTTTTCCTGTATCTGCCAACACATTTTACGATGAGGAAGATGGCAATTCAACTCAGTTATCTTTACAGTTAATTCCAGCTGATGACTCTCCAGGGGGATCAGAAAGCTGGCTTCAATTTAATGCGTCTCAGCAGACCATGCATGGCTATCCCCTTGATATTGATTTCCAGTATTCACCTCAAGAGTTTGTTCTGTCTGCCACAGATTCAGGGGGACTGACTGTCTGGCAATCCTTTACCATTGAGCTTCTGAAGCCCACAGATGTCCCATGCCACCTTTACACCATCAGAACCAAAAACAGCTATTACTCCTTCTTGAGAGAGAGGAAAAGGATTAGTTTATTTCTAGAGAAGCTCTCCTTGTATTTGAACTCCACCAATCCCAAAGACATCGTGGTGACCGCTCTCAGACCTGGATCCACAGTAATCTCATGGTACAACAGTTCACTGTGTACAAGTGCCAACAGACCTTTCAGCTGGTGTGCAAAAGAGGAAATCCAGGAAGCACTAAGCAAACTACGAGTGCCAGATGGATATGTTAGCCCACGTTTCATCCAAGCAATGTTACCAGAATACACGGTTGATGTCATCTTCAATATTTCATATAGTGATAACTGCTTTCCCACTACAAAGCCATTTGGTGGATCTTTCGACAGTACTGCGCCTATGCTTCAAGACTGGCATGACTCCAATATCATAAAGCCCCCATCAGCCTTACTAAGCAGTCTTTGTGTCACTGTTGGGTTGGTTCTGCTCGCATTACTTTACTGTTCTTGCAAGCATTATAGCAAGATTCTTGAATCCAAGTTTATGACTTTTCAGAGCAACTCCCAGCTTAGCCATGCTGATGTGGCAATGGATGTCCTGCAGCCTCGAGAAGTACCTGTACATGAGTGTGGGGGATCACCACCACATTCCTCATGGCTGCCACCTTTGTTATCACTTACCTCCCCAGAGCAGTATTCCAGGTCAGGAAGGTTGCCTCATATCATACCATCTTCCCAGCCACCAAAATATCAACTCCCACCCCTTTACCAAGAGGGTACAACTACTCAAAATGACTGGGGCAGTATCTGTAGATTTAAGATGACATCTTCTAAATGACAGCAAGAGCAAATATACAAATAGACAATTTGCATGCTAGGAAGTACTGTCCGTATCGTGCAGGAAAAAATAGGAAAAGGCTAAGTATTTAATTTTTCAATTTCAGATAGAACATAAGTTACATAATCTATGCCTAACCAAGAGGCATAAGCAGAATCAGAATCCCGAAACTAAGTATCAGAACAAAATGCCAAATACATAAGGTAAAGTTATCTATAGATAAGGTGGACAGACTAACATGTCTGCACCAGTCAGTCAAAAAATGTATACCATACTGATGCTAGTAGGACTGAGCCAAAATTGAGTGAAACCAATTTCATTATGACTCCATATATTTTGTGAAGAAAGCAGAACTGTCAGGAGAACCACAACAAATGCCAGTGTTTCCACTGAAACTTGAAGACCCTATAAGCCCTGAGTTTCTGTGTTATCCTATAATTATATCCACATCTTTTAAAAAAATAAGAGCTCCCTAACATGAAATGCTTCTCTTCCCATGTCATTGTATAATGTACTTTTATAATTAGATTTTCAAGTTACCAGCTTGCTTTCTTATAGCAAGACTGGCTCTTATTCTGCTTCTATCTGTGACAATTCAAGGATGATGGTAGAAAAAAATTGCATAAAAAATTTTGTAAAAGCTTTTCAGATATTTTGGAAATCTTTCAGTTTAACAGACTAACATATACAAAGTTTTATTCATTACTTCCAATTATAAACTACTTTAAAACTGCAAAAATCCTCTATGAATTTGGTCTATTGCACATGATGCTGTCAAAGTACCACCAATACCACCACTTTGAAAGGAGATGAGTACAGAGCGCCCTTTCCAGAATTACCCCAAGACTCTACTGGAGAGAGTGGAGAGCCACGATCATCAGACCACTGACATTACAACTGCGATAATGAAACAGGTGATGGTGTGATGGTGTGTACCAGTACTATGGTGAAAATGCTTAGAAGTAGTCTTGGGGTCTTTTAAATTACTGAGTTCATCACTTAACTCACAAACAAGAAACACCTTTAATTTCTACTGCAAACTAAGCTATTGGAGGAGAAACCAGAGTTGTTTTTCATTTCTTTTGATCATCCACATTTCAAAAATCTGGGCAGAAAGGCCATTAGGTAGTAAGTAGTAACTTAGTACTCAGTAAGTAGTATTTCACACAAGCAACATATGACTTTAAAATGAAGATGCACAGGACTACACATTTAAGTTTATTTCTTGGATAGCAACATCTTATTTTCAAGATAAGAACAGAAGGTCTCAGACTTTAGGGTTATCAAAAATCATATATTGCTTCTGTGAAAACTACATACATCTTTAAATGTTATCAAAATAGTATCAGGCAAGTACTCTTTTCTCACTGCAAAAAATGCCCCTACAATCATTTAACAAATCACACTTACTGTCTAATTGTGGCTACCAATATAAATATACCAGCATGATATTTGTGTTCTGAATTAGTCACCATAAAGTATAACATTTCAAGTTTCAGATTAAGAAATATAAACATATTGAGTTAGTTTTAAGACTTCTTTCTGAGCTTTTCTATACTGACAAACTAATATATCAAAGCTGCAGGACCTTCAGTTGCTTATTCAGGCTAAAATAAAGCAATAGGAATAGACCAGAGGAAAACTGATAGAACCACTAAACTCAAGTGGAAGCACAGAAAGACTGGGAATTAGTTTCTGAATGAGGTTTTAATTTTTTATCTCCATAGCTTCATGCCCTGCTCTTCTACAGTTGGCATGCTGAAGGGATCAGCTACTTGGAGGGATTAGCAGAGATACTTGTGAGGGAAAAAAGAAAAAAAAAAAGACTGATAATCACCATTTGTCACTTCTTAGCCATATTTGGATATTCAGAATAAGCTTTCCCTTTATAAGCATTAGGGCCTAATCTGACCTAAAGCCACAGGTAATTTGGTAATTGGAGGTAATTTGGAGGGTATATTCCATCAAAAAAACATTTAATGGTTAGCAAAAAATTTATTTCTATTTTGTTTAAAAACAGTCAATTCCAGCATAACAACCTGAAAGATCTTGCTTTCTAAAGTTCATTCCTAACAAATTTTAAAAAGTTCTGAAGCCAACATTTAGTCTTTAAAACCACTCACACCCCCACCCCACCACTTGCATGAAAACCAAGACTGACATTCTCAGCTCAGCAACAAGGTGTTCAGTGCGCGGTCTTTTCAATAACTCTGGATGCCTGAGAAGTTTTCTATAAATAAAAGTATTAGTGAACTGAAATTAACAGTATCAGTTATTTATCAATTGAAACTGAAGCTCTTCAATACAGTCAGTCACCACTGTATTAAATACTTATGGAAAAGGACTTTAAATTCAGATCATCTTTGACAATTTCATTTAGTCCTCGGCAGCAGAGGCTTTCTTCATTCTTAGAAGTCGACTGTACAGTACTTCAGGACAGGCTATTTGCACACCATTCAGTGTGATACGTGCATTTTACAGTTCATAGAAAAATAGAAATACAAAAGAGTAAAAACAAAAACAGAACAATTGTACTAAATGGTACCAATTTTAACTCCAACATCATGGTGCTCTATCTTTGTTCCCCCCCCCCCCTCCCCGTGCAATTCAGCACAATTCTGTTTGAACAAAATCACTGTCGTCCAGTTTTTCCATTCTCTGTCGTTTCCATTCTGAAATGGCAGAAAGCAATTGGTAAGGATCATCATTGTTAATACAATCAACAGACAAAAAAAAAAAAAAAAAGAAATAAAAGCTGCAATTTCTGTTTTATAAACTTCGCATACTTTAATCCTCAAAAATGTAAGCAGTTCTTTTAATGAAAATCAACTATTAATCTATTTCAAACTATTGCATTTGACTATTGCTTGAGTAGTAGTGATGCATTCATTGATACAAACCCATTTTCTTCTTTCAGATGTTGGTACAGCTCAGCTTTGTTGTTGACAGAGTTCAAACGACCAATAAATTCTTGGTGTTTCCTAGAATTGGCGGTATTAATTCTGTTGCTCCATAAAGACAGCAAGGACATTGGCCCTAAAATTGTATGCAAAAATAGGTAAAATCTGTAATTGGATGACTTATAACCAAGTGATTTAATTCTGTGTTCCTAGAACATGAAGTTTCTGAAGATACTAAGACTTTGGTAGTACAGCATATTAAAAACACTACTATTAAAAAGCCTTCTAATATAGACTACATAAGTATGACACACACAGTTACAGCAGTTGAGTTGCTGCTTTATAGAAGATTGACTTTGCTTCACAAGCAGCATCATAACATGAACTCAGCCATTATGACAGACAGTAGCAGCTCAACAAGGAAAAGAAGCCAGTGATAAATGTCCCTTTCAGCAACTAGACAGTTTGGCATGTCTACATTCATTAGTCAGCAAGAGACAGCTGTTTCTGATATCCACTCTTAAACAATGTTTCTGTCAGCGTACCTCAGCTAGCACCAGCAGAAATATGTCCTTGTCCCTTGTCAATCCAATTGCCTATCTTTTAGGTTGACACAGTATCTTGGGAGTCTTTCTTTTGACACTGACTTGTTAAGGTTAACACGTGTACTTAACAAGAGTTTCTCAGCATTAATTAAAACTTCTCTTCACTAATTCTGCTTTTACTCCAGGATCTGCCTCATTACCTTAGGGAAAGAGACTGATATACAAATTTTCAAGTGAAAAAAAAAAATCTGTCACAATCCTTCTGTTTTACCTTTTGCCTTTTCCACTACAGGCATTTCATCCATTGTTATAAGAGGCTTTTTGTTGGGGGGCTCAGGAGAATCGGGGGAATCTTTTATAACTTCTGCTTCTGCTAGTTCTTCTTTTTCACGATCCAAGAGACTTTTTAACCTTTTTGAGAGAGAAGGCAAACAACGAAGATACACTACAGCAGCATCTATTATTTCCTGACATCTCTGCACTCTTCAAGTGACCCACTACCCACATCATGAGGTTTCTTCTGACCGCTTGTCAAACTGGGAAACTTGGGAAAACCAGTCAAATAATCCTCTGGAAGACTTAAGGGAAAGACCTTAAAATATATTTTCACCTCCTTTTAAATATTTGTATCATACTCACTGAGGTAGTTCTGTCAAAAATAAAAAAGATCAACCGACAATGAATACGCAGAATGCCAATTTTTTTTTTTTTAAATATGATCCAGGTTTACGTTCTGTATCAAATTGCTACAGTCTCAGCCCTTGCTTTGCTCCACCTGTCAAAGCAAAAGTAGCTGTAGAAATGGATTTGATCATATGCAGAAAGGCAAGAAGATCATCAGCACAGTGACAATAACACAGGCCAAAGTGTCCATCCTCCTAAGCAATCCTAATATGTACAAAACTATATATTAAAAAAAGCTTAGTAATGCAAGGTGTTTTCTTTAGAATAAGTAGTTTGAAAGAAGGAAACCAGATCTGAAGTGCTTCAGAAGTTAGAATAATCAAAATGAATTATAAACTGTAGGTGCAAGGACAATCATCTTTGATGTTCAACTGAAGAGTCCAGCCTAATTAATTTGGATATACCCAACTACCCTCCAAATGACTGAAAAAATGTGACTGGACAGTTGATTTCATGTTCTAATATTCCTACAGTATACAAGTGTTGTAGTTACAAAGTAGTGTAAAGCCCTGCTGTCAGCAGCCTGTCCAAGGTCCATATTTGTGAAATATTTTTACTTTGCAAATATGTTAAGCAGGCACTGTAATAACATAGATGTTTTTCCAGCTTATCAATGGCCAATTAAACCGATTAAAAAAATTGTGATTCACAGTCATTGTTTATGCTTTTAAATGTGGCTTACCAACAAATCAAATTAGAACCCATTTTACAGCAGTTCTCTTGCAGAGCATCATGACAAAGATTATTATGTCACGGTTTTACATTACTTTAGAAGATTTACCTTTCTGATTCTTGCCATGGCTTATCTGTTTCGTAGTCCTTTCCTGACTTCTCTGACTTGTCTTCTTTATCTTCTCTCTTTCTGCCTCGTTTCTTGCGTTCTTCTTCTTCTGGGGGTTTGCTTCTGCAAGCCATCAAACACTCCAAGACCCGCTGGTGCTTATCAGAGTTGCCAATGTGTGCTCGTACCAGAGTTTCCAATTCATTCCACATAATCCGATACTGTTCATCTCTAAGCAAGGGTAGGAAAAGCAGAACCATATATAGGATAATCTAAATCATTGATCTACTGAATAGCTAAATTAAAGACTTTTTTTGTGTTGTGCTGTTTTGATTTTATTTATCCCCTGAGCTTCTTCTTCATGTGAAGATGCACCCACACCTCAGATCGTCCCATCCTTGTAATTCATGGAACCACACCACGTGATCTTTCCCCACTAACATTCAGAGTTCAGTTTAGTTGAAATGTAGATGCTGATTCCACTGACAGCAATTTCTTAACTTTCATGAGATCTGACTGCCAAAAGTTACTTCTGAATTCAGTCAGCTGTTTGCTAAGCAGCAAGTTAAGCAATATTAGGATGCAGATGACCACTCAAGTACTGGAACACCCATGATTTATTTAAATATTTGCATAAAAACCAAGAATTAGGAATCTTACATTGGTTGACCGTAAATAACTTCCAGGTGCCTGGTGATCTGTTGCAGACTAATTTCTTTCCAGTTAATTCTTGGAATTACAATGTATGCATATGTCACCATTGGAACAACAAATAAATGGAAATCCTATGCAGACTTTAAAAGGAACATCCTATATTTTAAGTAACAGTTTCAAAGTTATTGGACTATTCTAATAACTCACTTTTATATTGCTGTTTGTTTACAATATTCTCAAGCTCCCCTTCTTAGTCATTTGACATTATTCCACTTTTTCCTCCCATAGCTTGTCACCTTCCTCAATCATTTCTGTACTCACATTTAACACTCACAATTTTTGCAGT